CCTGCTCTCTCTCTCTCGTACAAGTCAGTCAACAACCAAAGACAGTCGGGATCCTCACCAGTCACCACTACTTCTTAAATCGGAATCCATGCGAATTTTGCATGTCTCTTACCCTCGACATCATTAAAGATACCTCTGTTCTAGTTACATCGCAGTAATGCTTCCTTTTATTTTACACCTAGCTGTGTTTCTTTCCTCTTATTTCTGAAATGACTTGTGCGAGACATACGTGATTCAGCCAGAGCAAAATTGAAAAAGACACTTTTGGCAGGTTTGACTGCTTATGACTGATCCAAACAATTCATAAATTATGCTATCTATATGAGCTTGTGGTAATCCCTCGTTTAAATGGTTGTGTTTTTATGTGTCAAATTATAAAAGAGAGTTCCACGGTCAAGTAGGATTAACGAACGGGTGAGCGAGCGCCGTGGTAACGATCCAGGCGTTATTTGATGAATAAAACTTACCTTAGGAAAGTGGTTCAGGTAGCTCAGCTGGCTAGAGCAAAGGACTGAAAATCCTCGTGTCAGTGATTCAAATCGATGTAATTCATGACCTTTGACAACTATTACCTTTTATGTTTCTCTCCTTTACATTCTGTGTTCCAATTCTTGATCAAGAAAATGTCCTTTTTTGTACTTCTCTATATTTTTCAAGGTTGGGACGGTGTTTCCTTTGATATCGATGCTCTTGATTGTTCGGCTGAAGTTCATTTGTTGTATGCTATTTTTCCTTCAGCACTAGACTTCTCTATTATCAAATTTGACTGGTTGTATGATATGCAGGTGGAGAGCATAATGTTGAGCATCATATCAATGCTTTCAAGTCCTAATGATGAATCCCCTGCTAATGTCGAAGCAGCTGTAAGTAATCCAATTTATCGACTCTTTTTCACTTATTCCCTTTGAACTGGGATGCATTGCGTCCTCCTGGTGTGGGGTAGGGTAGACACTGTATGTAGAAACTCCCCCCTCCGCCAAAACAAACCAGGGAATATCACCATGAGGTATCAGGTTCCTATGATGCAATTGGGACTAATCGGCCGAAATGAAACAATTTTGATAGTCCTTTGTGGTAGCGGAGGTAAAAAGTCCTAGGTGATTACTTCTCATCTGTTCAAGTCTTGATGGATAGAGTTATCCTGTATTCGGGCTGGTGGGATGTAGCAGGTACTATGTGGAATTAGCTGAAGCTCATGCAATTTGGCCCGGACATCGCAATTATTAGAAAAACTGATTAGGGCCATATCATTTGAAGTTCATTGAAGATCATTAATATTCTCTTCTTCTGAACCCCTAAGGTCTTTTTACAATGTTTCTTGTGTTTCCCTTTTCAACTCTAAGGATGATAGTTCTCGTGCCAGTGAGAATTTATCTGATGCCAAATCCTAATTTGAGTGTTCAAACTAATATCAGGAGAGACGACCATGGCCAGCATGTGCCCGTTACTTGGTTTTTCTTCTTTTGTTGTAATGCCCTTATTCACGTCTCTTTTTTCTGTCATATTGCAGAAGGAATGGAGAGACAATAGAGATGAATTCAAGAAAAAGGTTAGTCGTTGTGTAAGACGGTCCCAAGAAATGATGTAAAACAAACTTCTTTCGCGTCATCAGCTATTGATCGATACAAATGTAGAATCGCTGTCAAGGTCATACCTTTCTGTATCATTACGCCTTTCGTCTTGCAAGTTCGATCGTTGTTTACATTTTATTTGTTAAAACTTAGTTTTTGAGGTTCTTGCCAGTAAGTAAGATTTATTTTATAGCTCTAAAGTTGTTCAACTGCATAATGTACATCTCAGAAATGAGCTAAATGAATCTTTTCTTCTTATTATTAGAGAACTGATTATTTGTTTCATGAAAATTTGTCTCTGTTACTATGTTTTGTTATGCTTTCACTTCCGTTTATTCTTTTTCTAGATTGTTTTCCCTCGAGCCGAGGGTGTATCAGAAACAATTTGTCTACCTATACGGTAGAGATAAGGTCTGTGTATACTCTATCCTTTCTAGACCCCATTTTGTGGGATTACACTGAGTATGTTGTTGAAAATTTGGCTCGTTAGTCAAGGGTTTCCCATGGGAAACTCGTCTCAAACATTACACTGGATATGTTGTTGTTAGTCTACAAGTCTAATTTTGTGTATCGAAAAAAAGTCTCTCTACCTTTACAAGGTAAGGGTAAGACTACATATACACTACCCTTTCCAGACATCACTTGTGGAATTACAGTGAATATGTTGTTACTTACTCTGCAAGTCTTAGCAACAACAATATTGTTGTCTATACAGTCAATACATAAAATAACAAAACATTGAAGGAATTTTCGACATGGATAAGAGGTCGTTGCTCAGATGATTAAAAAAAAACAACTTTATTTCGTTGTTAGTAGCATCTAGCTAGATTCTTACGTTTTAGTTTAATGAGGATGTTCTCAATTTTATCCCGAGGATTGTTGTGGTTCGATTTTTTTCAGACCCCGCGCAGAATGAGAGTTTAGTATACCAGCTTATTTTTTTTTATACACCTAATATAATTGATCATTTCTTGTTTGTCAATATTGTCATTCTAAATAAACAAATAATTATCTTCTTTTTTTTCTAAAGGCTAAAGTATTCATTACCCCCCTGAACTTGAAGTTTTTTATTTGGTGTACACTTAAACTATATTCCGTTTTAATTGCCCCCGAACTTGTTTATTCCTCCATTGCGTACACCTTTATTGTCCACCTGGCATAGAAATTGACAACACACTCTACTAGGCGCGTGAGGAAGTGATTTTTTACCACATCATAAAGCTACAACGGTAAAAAAAACGTAAAATCTTCATTTTTGTTTAATATTTGGCATATTTTAAACGAAAAATAGGGCAAAATGCAAATGACAAGTAAAGGAAACAAAGATTAACACTTGCTTGGTAAGAATTTCAGACAAATTTGAAATTTAATCGATCAATTTCACGTCTAGAAAAATCCAAATCCAGAAGGAGTTTCGCGAAATCAACACTTATTCAAAAATAACTTTTAAACAATGAATGTTTGATATTTATTTTTTGCTATATTAATTTATCTAGGTGGCTATTATTTATCCAGGTGGAAATCCACATCATCAATTTTGCCAGGTGTCGCGCGCGTGTAGTCACAATAGGAGCAGGTGGACAAAAAAGGTGTACGTGATGGAGGAATAAACAAGTTTGGGATAATTAAAACGGAATATAGTTTAGGTGTACACCGAATAAAAAGCTTCAAGTTCAGGGGTAATAAATACTTTAGCCTTTTCTAAATAAAAAATTTAACATCAACGAATTTATTTATTTTTAAAAAATAATAAAATTTTGTTTTTTAAGTGTTAAAAAGTCATTCATTTTTGCTTGGAAATTGGAAGACTTGACTGACTTTTATTGTTTTTTTTTTTGACAATTTAATAGTTTAGTCAAGGAGTGCATGAATTATTTTTCATATATTTTAAATTCTCTCTATTGACAATTACCACATTTAAGGAGCTTTTTTCAAATAGAAAAAAAAATTAGTATTCTAAAAAATACATTAAAAGCCAAAGTAAAAATAAGAAACGATAAGTGCATGTAATACAAGCTAGTGACTTTTTATATGGTGTCCGCTGCTTATATTAGAATCTCAACTAATTTAAATTTGTGTTACGCAATCAAAGTATTATTATTGAAAGGGGAAAATGTTATTATTATTATATATAGAAAAAGGGAAAAAGATAAACGCAATTATTATATATCCATTTCAGATGGAAATCCCAAAACCTGAAAGGAGCGTCTAACAGCTTTAATATTATAGAAAACTACCAAACATTATAAATTTAAAATCCGACCAATAAATCAGAGATTTCGAGTTTGAGCCTGAAAATTAAATTATTTTTGCACCTAGTTGCTTCAAAAGTAGATTTTTTTAACACAAATTTAAATTCTTCAGATATCAAAATAAATATTTTCTCATCTCATTACGTAAAAGTATTACTATTTGAAAAGTCAAACATTTTTTCATGTGATTACTCATAATTTTTTTTGAACATTTTTTAAAAATATTTTGAATCATTCAGTATGTTCGCTTGTAGCACTTTTCGTATAGCTTCCAAATAAGTGAAATTATGTATTAACTTATAAACGAAATTAAGTGTTTTAACTTTCGTACTCAAGTCTCTTGCGCATATATTGAAACAGAAGTACTAAATATCACGTGAGACTTACGAGGGTAAATACTTATACTTGCTTGTATCAAATATCTATACCAATCTAATATAAATACATGATGCGAATAATGTTTTAATCGAATATAAACAAAATGTAGTCAAAGGAAAAAGAGTATGTAAAGAAGAAGAAAGAAGCACGAAAAGTGCGCTAATAACCCCACTTGTTCCCATTCGTTTCTACCTAATATTGAACTGTCATTTTCTATGTTTTTTTTTTAAAAAAAAAAAAAATCAAAATTTATTGATTTGATTAATTTTAATTTATATTAAGTAAAAGAATTATCGTAAATTACTTGATTTTTAAGGCTTGAACTTTTTCTAGAAGGATGTGTCAAACCAACGTATTGTTTTGCGTAATAATTTGTTATTCAAAATTTACTGGTTTGAATATTTAGATTTATATCAAAAAAATTCATTCACTCAACACGAATCCAATCCAACCATTTCACTATATCCTTGATGGCAAAAGTAATTTAATTCAAATATAACATACATTAAATTCGGGTATAACAATATGAGTTTGTCCTAATCGTATTTCTTTATTTTTTATTAAATAGTTTGAGTTTGAGTTCGAGTTTTTTATATGAGAAAATTCTAATTGTGAGCGTCTTTTCTAGAAATAGATCCTTACACAATACTCAAGTTCAGATTAATCGAGCTTTAATGAATGCTTGTGATGCTTATATTGAGATTAGTAACAACGATCTGCTACGCAAATTTAAATTAGTCGAGCTCCGAGAAATTATATGTTCTCTTGCTCCATTTATCATTTATCCTTGTCATGAGAATCATGCCATGTCTCGTGACTTCAAATCCCCAAACAGAAAAAAAACTTTTCACACATGAAATCAAATTTTCCAGAAAATTAATAAATTCACCCAACTTTAATTTCTCTATGAATTTCTCCATCTCCGTCTGAATTTCTCGCCGGAAAAAATGATGAGGTCGCCGCAGGAACCGAACCGGAACGGCGGTATTAGAACTCCGTCTCCCCGGCCGAGAAATCAATCTCAGTTTCACTCAACGGTTTCCGTGCAAAAAAACCAGCGGTTCAATATTTTGATACTCATTTTCCGGTTCGCCGCCTTCTGCTTCTCACTCGCCTCTGCAATTTTCATGTTCGCTAACTCTCACGGCGGTGGCTCCGATTCCGATTCCGATTCTCTTCGGTGGTACCACTTCGATGCGTTCAGGTACTACTACTATTAGCTCTTTCTATTTTTCTCGAAAAAAATATATCAAATTGAACTTAATTAAGCATATTTGCAATATAATTAGCTGATAAAACTACCTTAATTTGAAAATTTAGATGAAATTTCTTCGAATCCCCTTCACTTATGTTATCTCGACGAGGGTGAATCAAGCAGGACTAACAAATTTCGAAGGTTAAAAAGTTTTTTTTGTAGCGTGTATATATACGATTATACATATATATGATATATTTGTCGACTATTATAAGGTTAATAAGTTCATTTAATTAAACGATTATTTAAGTTGATTCTTTAGAAGAAAAAAGCATAGCTCAAGTTGTCATGGTAGCTAGTTTGGTGCTCGATTGCGTAGTTCAAAAGACAAATTTGTGCGATCGTAGGCCAAAGCAGACAATACATATCAATAGACTTGGATCATGACAATTTTAATTATGAATATACAATCAATTAGTCAATTACGTCTCAATTTCAAACGATTAGATCGAGTTTTTTTTTATTTGAAGTCTATAATGAGATTTTGTTTTTCTATAGATTTGTGGCAATTGCAGCTGGGATTGTAGCATTGTATTCACTATTCGAAATTGGAGCTTCGGTTTGGGAAATATCAAGAGGCACCACTGTTCTTCCTGAAGTTGTACAAGTTTGGTTCGATTTCAGCCACGATCAGGTTCGGCAGAATTCAGTAATTTTAGTTCAAATCATGTATTTATTTTTTAAAATTATTGAATATGTACAAGTTAATTTAAAATCTAATAACTTAAAAATACTAAAATCTTGAATATTCATAAAGTTTGAATCCTGACTTCACGTTGGTTTAAGACGTGAAATGAGTCAATTATGTTTGCATTACGATAAGCTGCATGCATCACACCTCCTCGTAGTTTTCTTTCATGAATTCTATATGAACGCGAAATATTTTGTACGAAGGGCATAGTGTGAGAAAACAGACATTGTTTTTACTGTGTAGGTTTTTGCATACATGTTGTTGTCGGCAGATTCGGCGGGAACGGCGTTAGCTCGGACGTTAAGGGATCGGGACACGTGTACGGCTAATAATGCATTTTGTGTTCAATCAGATATATCCGTCGCCTTAGGATTCGCCGGGTTTATGTTCTTGAGTTTTTCTTCTTTATTATCGGGTTTTCGGGTCGTATGTTTCATACTTAACGGGTCACGTTTTCATATGTAATATTCATCCATCATTATGTTGTAATCTTTACTCATAAATCTTAATGAAGGTAAATTTTGATTTTAGTCTCGTATCTGACTAAACATATTGAACCTTCAAAATACATTAATGCAATTCATATTTTTTTAGTTATATATCGAATTATCAACTTTTAAATAACTTATTATTCAATAATTGAATTTGAGGATAATGTAATCTTTTTATAAATAGTGTAAACATAATATAGTTTCTATTTGTTGTTTTAGTTGCTTTGTATCTTGTTATTATGTTGTCGTATTTTTCTCGTAACTTATTTTGAAAAAATCTCTTTTGAGCCAAGACGGTCCATCCACTCCGCAAAGGTAGGATATAGTCTATGTATACTTTATCCTATTCTGATTCCATTTATGGGATTATACATTATTACGAGAATTAATAATTGAAACACCGTGAAATGTTAACTTCCATTTTATGAAACTATCAGCTCGTAAATTTAATCTTAAATATGAATTTTGAACGATGAAATGTTATATTGAGATAATAAATATTCCTTCATCTTTAGTTGAAGGTCTCAAATTTGAATCATGATAATACAATTATCTTTAATAAAAAAAGTGCTTTATTCCTAAAATCAAACGTTATAATGTGAATTCAAATTAATCGAATTAAAACGATTCTAGCGAGTTTCTTATTCCTCAATAAGACAATGATGTTTAGCTTCGTGGTTACGTTAGATAGCAATGATATGCTATATGATACTTTGAATTTGTTCGATTTTATCGAATATATACATTGCACTTAGTTTAACTTTTTTTTAAAATAAAATAAAAAATTAGCTAAACATTGAATGATTTATTCTTAGTTGATTTGGTCCCATTTTGGCATATCTTGCACTATTTTTTTTTCTTTTTTCGTTATTCTTTAGAAAAAAAATCACTCAATTTTTGTCCTCTCAATCATATACTTGACAAAAAATTATCTATAGATTATAGAGCTAATATAATTGTGAACCAAATCAAGCATAATAGCATATTATAAATTTATAAATTCATAAATCTAAGTAAATTTATACTTTCTTTTGGACAATTTCTTTAATATTAAATAATCAAAACATATTTTATGACCCTACAAGCTTTCTATTTATAACCAAACAAATACTATTTTGAAATTCCTTATCTTAGTATAGTGAAAGCATTTTTTTAAAAATTTGAGACAAATGAAATGAAAAACTTAAAGGACACACTCTATAAATAGATTAAATTCGTTTATCATTAATAAAATGTATCAAATTTAAGCTTAAAAAATTAAGCAACTCCTAATAAGAAATGTCTCTTCCTTTTTCTTAAAATAGTGAAAAGATTATCATGGACAACCAATATTTCTACGTACAGAGCACTCTAAGGAATCATAATTTAAATGTTAGTCATTTTGAGCCTCAAAACCAAAAAGAAAACAAACAACTAGTTAAAAAATTTTTGAATTAAACTACTATACTTTTACTAAACACACGAATTTGAATTAGCTAATTCAATGAGTTTCATATTGCAAAAAGCAAAATATTTCACGTTTGTTATTTTTAAAATAACACTTGTCAAAGCAAAATAGATGAAGCATCAAATGGCTCACTCATGCTCGTTTACAAATTCTCTCGTAAATTTAAATATTTTGTCAAAAATTATTGTGACACGTAAAAATTAACCTCCTTGTTTCTTTAGGAGCATTTAAAGTCTAACGTGAAAAGTAAAAGTGAATGAAGAGAGTAGTTATATTACAATCAATCAATATGAGTTTTGGTAGAATGATTGAGATTCCTACATTGTTAACCAAACTTTTGAATTCGAACTCTAACACGGAAAAATATTAGGACAAACTACATAATTACACAAACATTACTAACATATATACTAATAAACTTTATAGTTTGAAATAATTATATATTGTCTCATTAATTAATAATTTTATACCAGACTTCAAGTTACATACATTTATCTTTAATGTCATATACATTATGAGACATATATATACATAGGAGAGTGGCGAGCGAGAGAAAGAGGTGAGCGAGAGAGAGAGTGGAGACAAGCGAGTAAGATAAATGAGAGGCGAGCGTGAGAGTCAACATGTATCTTTGGTACTAGATACATGTATCTTTGATATCAGATACATTTTGAATACAAATACATAAGGAGAGACGCAATCGAGAGAGGGAGAGAGGCGAGTAAGAGAGTCAATAAATCTCAGATACATGTGAATCACGCTTGAATAAAGTGTATTTGAAATAAATTACACTTAATTTAACCGCATATATCCAATATACATGTATCTGATGAATTAAATATAATACAAAAAATTTCAAACATTTTGAATACATATACATAAGGAGAGACGCAATCGAGAGAGGGAGAGAGGCGAGCAAGAGAGTCAATAAACCTCAGATACATGTGAATCACGCTTGAATAAAGTGTATCTTAAATAAATTACACTTAATTTAACCGCATATATTCAATATACATGTATCTGATGAATTAAATATAATACAAAAAAATTCAAAAACTAAAAGAATTATGCCTCACTAATGGATGATGTAATTGGCGAATGGAATTAGTCGGATTTCAATACGAGCACAAAACACGTGATCTAGCGGGGGGCGGCATATCAACGTGGCAATCCAATCCAATAGAAAAAACTAAACCGTGATTCAGTATCAGGTGGGACCCAATAACTGTATATTCTAGGGGAAACCAGACGACTATAGGAGAGTGAATTCACGCGCCATTTGCCCAAGCAAAGTATAAACCTTCCTTCACGGTCAACCTCCGCCGTACTCCGCCATATTCTTCCCGTCGTCAGCGATTTCTCCCTGAATATCAACACTCAACCTAAGTTTCCGGTGAACTCTCGCCGTTAATTCAACCTGATAGTATATACGGTACGACATCCGATTTTGTTTCAGGTAATTGACTGAACATCCACATGTTAATCGAGAAAATATGTAGTAATTAATGTGTTCGTCTTTGATTGATTTGATATCTACTAATGTGTTCGTCTCTCCTGTTCTCATTTGCTCTCTCAGTTTTAGATGATTATGGTTTCATTTTTAGTCGGTTTAGCTGCATAATTTGTGAATCCTTGTTGAGAAATTCTCTTGCAATTATAGTGATTATTGAATATAGGAAGAAGAAATTCGTGACTAAATAGATTTAGCTAGCTTTTCTCTCGTTGATTTTGGGAGTAGTTTTTGAAAATTTAACTTCAAATATTTGTTTTTGATGATTATGGTTTCATTTTTGGGCGTTTTAGCTGCATAATCCGTGAATCCTTGTAGAGAAATTTGCTTGCAATCATAGTGATTGGTGAATATGAGAATAATTTCGTGAATAAATAGATTTAGCTAGCGATTGACCATTGATTTTGGGAGTAGTTTTTGAAAAGCTTGGGACTTACACTCACAAAACTTATATTTTTTCCAAGCAAAATGCATGTCCAAGCACAACTTCAAAACTCAAATTCTGAAGTTTCAAATTTCAGCTTCAAATATATGGCCAAACAGGAGCTTAATTTAGATATTATGAGTTCATTGTCATCCTTAAAGATACCATAACTAATCCTGATTATTGCTAAATTTTGTTTTATATTGGAAGTTTCTTCATAGCGTCGTCATACGTGGCAAGTTTTAAAATCTGGTTAATATTCTTTCAGTGGTGATTTTGTTATGTCTGCCTGGTATATATGAATTGATTACACAATAATCCAATAGTTGGGCGGGAAAACTGGTGTATGTTCTAATTTCCACGATTTGTTTTTTCTTTTGTTGATGCAAAGCTGTGACTGAGATTTATGAGGTCATCAATATGGGTGACTTACCATGTCCACCATATTCTAACAAAAGTTTGGAGGCGCGGATGATTAGCAAGGAAAAGCTACCGAAGATTTGTTTAGTTGCTTCTGCTACAAAGCACTTCTCAGCAAAGACTTTGAAATGTATAACTAAAGTGAAACACAGTGTACAGACTAGTGGAGCTGCTGGTGATATTGTCATATTCTTGGCTACCACTGCTGTTCTAGAGGTTGTACGAAGGCTGAGCAAAGCTAGATGTCCTTTTATTTGGCACGGTTTGCAGGCGCTGCAAGCTTTATGTTATCCACCGCTTAAGTGGATCCAAAAGTGGGTTCCTTTGGAGCCATTGGTCGGACAATTGCAGGTGGGTTTCTGTTCATCTTTTAGTGCATATAATTCTTGCAATTCTGGGAATACTTACATTCACTTTTTGAATTTGTTATATTCTACTTGTGAATTTTTGACAACTACTGTTCCTAGTATTTGGATGTTACCAATTCATCTTTAATCTGCTGTATGATTGCACATCTGGTTATCTGGAAGTGTTTTTCTTTGCCTGTCTTTAGTTTTTCTGGTGCTTGTTTGCTTGACAACATTAGTGAAAAGAACCAATGTCTTTTGTTTTTCAATAAATTATGTGAGGATTGTGACATTTCCGTTGCCTATCTATCTTTTCTTTTCTACTTATGTTTCTGAAGATTACAAGGAGAACAACCCATTTGTGTTTTACATTCGATATGTGACGTCATTATGTTAAACGTTTCTCATGAGTTGAAAGTGCTGCAGAAGGTTTTGGACTCATTATAAGCATGTTCATAACCACCTTGGTCACAATAAAGAAAACAACATTTGTGATTCAGATGCTAAATCTTGAGTGTAATGTTGACTTTTTCCCATATTGCTGTAAATCCTTTTACATGAGAGATCCAGGTTCTGGTTTTTGGCCCAAACATTTCTCTTTTATTTGGCTATTTTTGTTGGTTACTGTTTTCGTATTTTAGAGAGCACTTCTTGTTTGATTTAGTGCATAAAAAAAATAATCTCTTCTGGCACTTGGCCTTCCTTACAATTGTATGTTATCACTGCTCATTTAAGTCACCTCAAATGTTGGATTCTAGAAGCGGTCTTGAAGGGATTTAATACAAGGAATATTATATAATCACAGCAGATGAACTTCTTTTTGTTTGGAGAGATGGTATATGTTTTATTGCTGCAGCACTTCATAGAAGATAAGTTGTTGACAGCCAAGACTACTTTAGTTGGTTATTTGTTATTAGATCTAGCATGCGTAACTTAATTTTCTACACTGCTGTTTAATCTGCTTAACTTAATATTCAATGCTGTTGTTTAATCTACTTAACTTAATTTTCGACACTGTTGTTTATTCTTTTCAAAATTTTTCCTTTCTAATTGATTGGTGTTTCTATTGTAATGACTATGCTTATTTTGGTAGAAATTGTCTAGGCCAATGCTATTGCTCTCAATTGCAACAGTTTTCTCCGATCAGTCATCATCTACGGGAGAAACGACACCGAACGACTTTCATCATTCTCAAGCATATCCACAAGCAAGGTAGGTGTACCATTCGAAGTATATTTTCTTTGGAAGTTTCTCGCTTCCTGGACTACAGCAGCTGTCTAATGGCTAAAAGGATATAGTAATAGAAGTGTTTATAATTTCATGTCAAGTTTAGATGCTTGTATTTTGGCTTCTCTTTATATTGTTTGGTGTATGCAATGATTATGATACACAAATTATTATCTTAAGCTTCTACTCGTTCAACCACAAACACAGAAAATAAATTATTAGGATTTATGAAATTAAAGCCACAATAAGAATGAGGATTACTCCTTTCGGGGTGGCTCAGATGGTTTGCCTTGGGACTTCCATAATGGAGGTCTCAAGTTCGAACCCCCTTTTGTTTGTGCCAGCAAGGGGGTTGACCTTCTGGGTTGAGCTCATCTCAGGGGCTTGCCCAGTGCGGCTTACCTCTCCCGTGTGATTTGTGGGCTATTGCACAGAGGTGGGGTTTACCCTGTGCTCACCCAAAGGGTAGCGGCTGTTGGTTCCCTTGTCATAAAGAAAATGAGGATTACGATCTTAGCTAGTCCTACACTGAAACCTAATTCTTTTATTGTTCAATTTTGTTGTGATGTTTGGAAACTGTAATGAATATGAATTTCCCAACAATAACCACGTGAAACTTTGTGAAAAACAAACAACAATGACAACATGAAAGAAGATCATTCATGAGATTCAACAGAAATTATCATTTTTTATTTTTCTTGGGCTGTTCTCAAATTCAAAATTGCTATTCAGCTTTTAATGTAATTACATTGAAACATATTGTCAACAACAACAACAATAAATTGAAAGATAGGAGGCCTAGCAATTATACTTGTGTGATCACTTTCTTTATGCCTTGTGTGATCATGTTTCTTCGTGAAATTGATTTTCATTATCTCTTTATGAAAATTGTGGTCTCCAGGTTCTTATTAAGGTTATTAGTTTTAATGTATGCTTCATGGTTTTCCTAACAGATCTCATGATGAAGTACAGGATGATGGTTATCCTCAAAGATGGTTGCTAGAACTCCATAAGGAACTGAGGGAGGAGGGTATTAGTGTACCTGAGAGGTGAGGTGACCTCCTTCACTTTTGTCAGTCTCAATGCTAGACTGGTGGTACTGGGGAAAAAAATGTTGCTTTGACGTGCCATATTTTCATTTTAGTAGGTTTTATTTAATTATGCTTTCCCGAAAAAAGGAAGAACACAAGAAAAGAGAGACTTAAAAATAATAAAGCTTGCTAAGTCAGACTTCCTTATTATTTAGTGTGTCCTCTTTGATTCTGTATTTTTCTTTTCTACTGGCTTTGATATGCATTACTTGAGCCAAGGGTCTTCCGGAAATGGCCTCTCTACCTCCACAAGGTAGGGGTAAGGTCTGCATACACTCTACCCTCCCCGAACTCCACCTGTGGGATTACACTGGGTATGTTGTTGCTAAGTCAGACTTCCATTTATCTACAAACGTAGTTGCTCTTTGATGCATTACACAAGTATTCTTTTCTTAACAATTTCAATTTCTATTTGACTAATTTGTCAGTGATACTAACATGTTAAATTGGAATTTTAATGTTCCCTGGTCAACCTGCTAACAGGTTGAATGATGATGAGCTCCGTCAATTCTATGCTGCTGCAAATGGTGATTTTGCTAGGCTGCTTTCATCAGTTAAGAAAACCATTAAATGGCGGCAGAGTTACACGTTTCTTTCACCAGAAGAACTTAAGGCTTGGTCTCCTTTCATTTTTTGGCACGGCCACGATGCCAATCAACGGCCTTGCCTCATCATTAGCCTTGGACTTGCTTGCTCCAACCTGAGATCGAATGGCAAATCTCTCTTGATAAAAGCAGTTGGTATGCATATCTTTCTTGAGTAGTTTATATATCAGTGCAACTGGAATACATGTAAAGACTGTGTCAGTGTCACTGGTGACTCAATAATATCATTGCAAGTTTTAATACGAGTCAAGTATGCTATAAGAGGCTGAGGTCAGGTTCTTCAGGATAGAATAGTATGATTTGCTCAAGTGCATGTCATAACTCAGGTTTAGAGTTGTCATAGAAAATTTAACCTGTACCCTTAGTGAATCAATCCTCTTTGCTGCCGATATGTAATTGTTACAGAAAATTTTGACCAATTTTCTGCTAATTGAACTGGGTTGGCCTGGATAGACCTCTTTGTTCTATGCCAACATCTGAGAAACCTGAATAGGCTTAGTAAACTTGGGAATTAGGGTCTGGGATAATGGCTATCACTGGGATAACCAATCCTGAGTTTTAATTCTTTTGTTAGTTTCATGGTATCCAAGTAAAAGCTGCTTCAATGGAAATTTCATTGCAGGATTTTCTGTTAAGCAGCTCAATTGCGCTTCGAATAATTTGTCAAATTTGCATGGCATGAAATCACTGATATTTTCTGGTCTGCTATTTGGAATTCATACCCAGACCCCACTTGTGGGATTTCACTGGGTATGTTATTGTTGTTGTATTGCCAGCCATTTGGTCTCAGTTTTTCATGTAGACTTCTTCAATTTGCATGCTGATTTTGGATAGGATTCTTATTGAGGTTTTGATTCCACAGTTTCGCAGATTGAGCACGGTATTCTGAGAATGGTCAATGTGGAACATCCTCAAATAACTGTTTTGATGGACTGTGAAGGACTCTCTCCCTTTGGTTTTCCCATACACATGATGAGATCTTGTGCTATGCTCTTGCAGGATCATTATCCTAATCGTCTTAGCTCTTTGATTATAGCTCGGCTCCCTCAAGTTGCCCAAATAATAATGCAAACTTTCTTTCAGGTAACTCCATCATTGATGCATTTAAAGATTTCACCCCCACCCCAAGAAAAAGAAAAAAAGAAACCAGCAACTCCTGAACCCTTTCCTTACAGGTGTTAGAAATGTCCTATTAATTTACTTGCCATTGAGATGAAATTTTTAAGAAAAGGCTGTGTGGGCCGATGTGGCTGGTATTTGTGGTGGCAGGATGGTTAACATGTCACTATGTAGCTTCTAAGTAGGTGATGTCTGACCTGAAATTATTGTGGTTGACACAGGATAATCCATGTCAACCAAAAAGGCTTTTGAATTAAAAAAAAAAAGTGTTGTTGGTGGTTCAGAGGACGAGTCACATGAATCCACAAGTTGCTTGATTTTGACTTGTTGTGAATTGGTTTTGATTACTTCTGCTGACTGGGGGAGGTTTTCCACTATTTGTGGGGATCATAATGAAGAAATCGTATGTAGTCATCACTTCAGTAAGATTTTACTAACCATCCATAGCTCTGATAGACACAAGAGGATGCTACCTCCCCCATGAGCTACTTCTTTTTGTTTACTTTCATGTCATTTGTTTTTGTTTTTTAAATCACTGTTCTCCCTTCTAGCAAATCTGTTTTTGCTTTCCCATAAAGAATTGGGTTACTTATAGTTTGTGGGGTAATATTTTGTGAATTCAGTAGAGAGGTATTTGGGAATCCAAAATTCAATTGTTCATTTGTCCGGTACATAATCCTCTACTGTGAACACACAATATTCTCTTTACTACATAATCCTCTCATACAATCCAACACGAAGGGAGGACTATCCCATCTTATCTCATTTTCATTTCAAATGGCTGGTTAAGACTTCTGCTTGTTGGTGTATCGCCCAGATTATTATCTCGTGGTTTGGATTTTGATTGGTTATGTTGGATTAATATGCACCTCTCCAGGTTAACTACTGATTATAGTATGGAAATGAAAATTTACTTTGTTTGCATGATTTCATTGATTTGTATGTATGGCTGCATTGCTATTAACATCAAACTAACATTGTGCTTGCAGGTGCTTAAACCAGCCACACGCCAAAAAGTGAGGATTATTGGGAGAAACCATCTAGAGTTTCTATCCAATCACCTCGATTCAATCCCTCCGTTTCTTGGTGGAAACTGCTCATGCTCAAAATGCTCAGACCAGACCAATGCAGAAGGTGAATCCGATGAAGCTACAAGGACAGAACCAACACCTGATCAAGCGAGTAGACCTGAAACACATGATCATGTGAATGAATCCGATGAGGTCACTCTAACAGAACCAGCCCCTGATCAAGTGAAAGATAGCACTGAGCTTAATCATCACAACGTCTCCAACACGAGTGTCTGCAGAGAAGAACTGATAAAGACCATCATCATCGGTATACTGATGGTGTGGGTATTCATTGCTGTGTTTGTGGCTATGGATTATCCAGAAAGATGGCCTCTTTTGCGTTCGACTTAGATAATAAAATTTGTGCTTCTTATGCAGAATCACAAAATCTGCACTCTCTCACAAGCAATAGATTTCTAGTTAGACATCGGTATACATCATATAGTAGTAGTATTTTCGTAGAGGATTTACATAATTACTTGTCTATGTGTAGTACTTTGAAAGCACCGGGACGAGTAGATATTCACATGGTAACTACTTATGATCAATAAAGCAATGAGGATTCGTATAGTTGGTCCCAACTTGTTTGAAGCGTAATTATCTATGTGTAGTACTTTGAAAGCACTGGGACGAGTAGATTTTCACATGGTAACTACTTATGATCAATAAAGCAACGAGGATTCTTATAGTTGGTCCTAACTTGTTTGAAGCAGAGGCGTAATGTTGTTTCCTATGCTTATTTCATATAAAGATGGGTTCAATTTCCTTTTATTGATGTTGATACTTCAAATGATGATCCATCTATTTAATTGGTTATAACAAGTTATTTATTCCATTTTTTAGGTTCCAAATTTTATCACTATGGAGAATTGCTTATTCATATAACCGACGTTAGCCTGTTTAATTTGAGGTGATAATTGTTGTGTGTCATTACGATAAACATGAAGAACAAGAAATTTCACGAGTAAATACTATGACTACTAGTATGGAAGTTCCAAAATAATAATACTAATAAACAAATTTTAAGAAAAGATCACTATCGACAAAGAAGAATTTTTCTAAATCACATCGATTGAAAATGAAAAGTTTAAATAAAAATGGTAAATGTTGTTTCCTATGCTTATATTACATATAAAGATGGGTTCAATTTCCTTTTATTGATGTTGATACTTCAAATGATGATCCATCTATTTAATCGGTTATAACAAGTTATTTATTCCATTTTTTAGGTTCCAAATTATATCACTATGGAGAATTGCTTATTCATATAACCGACTTTAGCCTGTTTAATTTGAGGTGATAATTGTTGTGTGTCATTACGATAAGCATGAAGAACAAGAAATTTCACGAGTAAATACTATGACTACTAGTATGGAAGTTCCAAAATAATAATACTAATAAACAAATTTTAAGAAAAGATCACTATCGACAAAGAAGAATTTTTCTAAATCACATCGATTAAAAATGAAAAGTTTAAATAAAAATGGTAAATGTGGCTGCTGGGATTCGAGCCCAGGTCTCCACGGCCACAACGTGGAATTCTTACCACTAAACTACAGCCACAAGATGTCTTGATTAGTTCTATTTTTTAATTTATCTTAATAGCGTAATTAATCATGTTCTTTACCGATTAATCTTTGGTGTGGAACATATTTAAACTGTATTAAAGCTTTAAAGCCTTTAACCGCTGTGTATCTATATGATTTTGTTGTACTCTATGGATCATAATATATAATATAATACATTCATCAAATCCAGTGTAAATTTAATATATAGGATTTATATTTCAATTTTTTGATGATCATCTAGTCTTTGATCTACTAGATATTAGTTACATGTGTCCACTATCAAATGGTCAATCAAAATTTCATCCTACCTTATAGAATTAAGAATTATAAATGTTCCCTCTGATTAGAAAAAGGAGAAAATGGTCTAAAAACCATCCAATCTATACCCGAAATTATAACTATACACTCCAACTTCACGGATGTCCTATTACCCCCTGAACTTCATATTTCTCTATTTTCTACCCACTTAAACACTGACCTTAACACATAAACCAAACAAATATTCCAACGTGATTGCACGCGCCGGATCCCCCACTTCAACTCCCAATTCCTGTTTTTCCCTCCTAAAACTTAAAAGACCCAAAAAAAAATCTTTTCTCCTTTTCATCTCCTTCTCCATTTGCATATGCATTTTGGTTGATGATCGAAGGATTTTGCTGTGTATTTTCAACTTGATTTCGTAGTTTATCAATTGATTTAGTATAAGGTTAGTTATTTATCCCTTATTTCGAGTTTTTGCTTTATCCCTTAGGGTTTCTATTGATTCGTGAAATTAAGAGCAATATTGGGTTTGATTCATCCATACAAAGCTTATTCAAGTTTTCATTTGCCATTTTTGATGAATTTCAAGAAAATTCAAAATTCAAATTAGAGACCTAAATTAAGAAATTAGAGCAGATTACAAACCCTAAATTCAATTTTGAAGTAGAAATGAACATAAACAACTAAACCCTGCTTATTTTTGAGAGAAAATCGTGATTTTTTTATAAAAGGAACAAGGGTTAATGGTGGGGAAGAAGAAACAATGGTTTATTTAATAGTGGGGAAGATGACCGCCGGAGAAAAAGAAAATTTTCGTCAAAATTTAAGGTGTTCTCACGTTCTAACGCGCCTAGAGGAGGTGTTCTCACCTCCTATGACAGATCAGCGTTTAAGTGTGTAGAAAATAGAAAAATATGAAGTTCATGGGGTAATAGGACACCCGTGAAATTGGAGTGTGTAGTTGGGATTTCGAATATAAGTTGGGGGGGCTTTAGACCATTTTCTCTAGAAAAAGGCCGACAAGGAATTCCATTAATAACTGATCATTTTGATCATTTGAAATAACTCGATGAAATTAGTGAATCATTTTTTTTATAAGGGCTAAAATCACTTATTTTGACTTTTTTTACATCATATTGTGGAGTGGATCTCGAAAGATATGACTAATATGGTTCTATTTCTCAATCTTTTTGACTTGCTCCTACGAAACAACTAAGAGATCCATTCGAGAAAGGGGACTATAGTTGAAGTACTGAGCCTCCCGACATTATTTTAGGCTTTGTCTATAAAATAAAAATGCAAGCAATAAATCAACTTTGTTGATGAACCTTGACCAAAGCTATGTCTTTGGTGCATTAATTAATTAAAACAAAAGATTAACTCTCAACAACCAATTATTCATACAAACACTTGATAAAACAAAAAGTTTAAATGGTAGAAAAATTAGTAATCTACTATTCAAAACTATTAGGATTAAAATATGCTAACAGTAATAAAAGAAGGCAAGGCATTTAGGTCCAAAACAAAATTATCAAACTACATCTTATAACTGAATTTAAATATTGTTCAAATACTTGGAAACATAAAGGTGAAAATATGTTTTCGAAACCAAAAAACAGACGACATCACAAACAACAGACTTAATCAAACAAACTGAAACCCATGTCATCATCTGAGACCTCAGCAGGCTCTTCCTTCTTCTCCTCCTCCTTAGCAGCAGCAGGAGCAGCTCCAGAACCAGCAGCTGCAGCAGGAGCAGCAGCAACAGCAAACTTGCTAGGATCCGCGAGGTATTCCTTCACTTTGTCAGCTAGAGGGAAAGAATAGTCAGTTTCAACTGCAATGGCCAACACATTCTTGTAGGCGTTGGTGAACATGTGTGGTGCAGCAGCAAGAGTTGGGTAAGAGATGGCCAATGCCAAAGAAGTAACCATAGATACTCCCATGGCAAACTTCTCAATGAGATCATCCTCAGTCAGGTCAAGAACCTCAGGGCTGAAGACGGATCCATTGTCGTAAACAGAGATAACAACAAGACCATATGAGAATGGCCTAATTCCAAGTTTGGCAAGCAGGGCAGCTTCAGAGGAACCAACTTTGTCACCCTTCTTGATGAGTTCAACAGGAGTGATAATTTCAACAGTACCCTTGTTAATCTTAGTTGGGATGTTGAGCACCTGCAAGAATTATATGGTAAGTAAACGAGAAATAGCTTCCCAACACAAGTGGGAAAAAATTTTCTTTGGCGGCATATGAGGCACACACCTGGAAGAAAGAGGTCTGAGATGGATCAAGACCAGTGTTACCAGGAGGGACAACAACATCAACTGGAGCCACCAAACCAACACGAGCAGGTGCTCCAACCTATTAACATATAAATGGAGAACCCAAACTTCAGCATAAAACATACTAAAACTTAGAATCAATTCAAACATCCAACATAAAACATGTCTTCAACAATTCAAGAAATGCAAGACAAATTGACAAAACACAATAAAATAATATTGAGAGCAACAGCATATACAAACCATAAGACTTTTTCAGTTAAATTTCAAGAGAAAACGACCTTTATAAAACTTTCATATATAACTAGAAAAAAGTTAATATTAATGGCATTCATGTAACACTCGAAACATACCATGTAACATGTTTAACATACTTTAAACTGATTCCCAAACACACATAGAAAGCCATAAACATAAGCAACTTTCATCATTTTACAATATAAAGAGTAAAGCAATTAATTTACCTTGTACTTTGCGACTTCCTCACTCACTTCCTTGAGGTCACCCTTGGTGAAGATCAATCCCACATTACCCTTTAATAAATCAAACAACAAATTCAGTACAGCTAACTGAGTTACCTATACTATGAAATCCAATAAAAACATGCTTAGAATATACACATTGAACATACAAATGGAAAAGTTTCTTTACTTTTTCTTTTAATGTATCGAATTGAAATATCAAAAAACATTACCGGAATACTAGACTGTTAAACACAGATTACACCATTGGTGAAGATCAATCCTACATTACATTAGTATAAACTGAACAACAAATTCAGTACAGTTAATTGAGTACTACCTATACTATGTAAACAAGTTTTGCTAAGTCGCTAGGACTCTGAAAAAATGTTGCCGCATCCGTATCGGCCCTTCAAAAATACACTATTTTCGGAGGATACGACATGCACCAGTCTCACATTTTTAAAGAGTTAGCTTTTGTTGTTTATTGTATCAGATTGGAATATCAATTCTACATTACTCTAGTATAAACTGAACAACAAATTCAGTACAGTTAACTGAGTACTACCTATACTATGAAAACAAAAACATACTTCTATCATTTTCTGTATCAATTGATCAGATTCAATAATTGAACACCAAATTCAGTACAATTAACATGCTTTGAATATATAGATATACAGAATTTGAATGTCAAAATGGTAACAGGATATCAGTGAGGGGCAAAAAGACTTACAACAAGGAGAGGGATGAGATTGAGGATTGTCTCATTGCCAGTTTTCTCAGCATGAACCCTAATAGTTCTCTTCATCATAGTATTCTTTCCCATGAGAACAACAGAATCACCTCTCAAACCCTTTCTAATACTCTGAAGCTGATTAGATCCAACATTATCAGCAGCAGCCACAAGCACCTGAGTAAAATCATCCAGAAGTTGACACATCTTGGTATCATAAGCGATCTTCTTCTCAGCCTTAGTTGCTTTTGGAGCCAT